AAAATAATTTTTAATTATGTATAAATATATTTATAATTTATTAAATTAAATTGATTTATATAAAAAAAAAAGAATAAATACGTAAATTTTAATTAAACGCGTATGTAAATTTATATATTATAAAAAAAAAAAAAAACTATTTTAATATAATTTTACAAAAAAAAATCATTTGAAAAAATGCAAAAAAAAAAATAATAATAATAATAATAACATATTTTTTTTTGTTTCTATTTTTAATTTTATTATATCGCGATTATAAAATTTCGAATTTTATTTTTTTTTAATAATTGATGTTTTAGATTCGTATAAAAATTTTCAATTAATTAGTTAATTAATTAATGGCTTGTTCTGGTGTGAAAAATATTAAATTAAATTTTCATAATTTTTTTTTTGTAATATTTTTAAATGTTAATATTATATTATTTTATTGATGTGACGATTATTTTGTTTTTGTTTTTTTTTTTTTTCATAAAACCGTCTGTTAGTTTATTAATTCAAAAAATTATTTAATTTGATATTTGTTACTTACTCATTTATTTATAATTCTATTCGTTTCTTGTTATTAAAAATTAATTAACATTATAAATAAATAAATAAATTATATAGTCGTTATTGCACGTACGGTGTAAAGCTTAAGTTAAAAAATGATATTGCACAAAATTATTTTTCATTGTAATATATATGTACACATATTTTTTTTTTTTTTTTTTGTTATTTAACTGAATATAAAAAAATCCTTGCCTTCGATCATGTTAAGAGATTTTAAATTGCTTTCGAATTCTCCATTGGTGAGATCAAGTTTTACGCAAGTTATTATGGGCGGTTCAACTTTTGAAAAATGTACGATTGGAATTTTCCTATTTTCCAGTAAATTTGAATTTACGTGGGTTTCGTAATATTTTCCCGTTTTTTTTGAATCGACATCACAAAATTGCGTTACCTTTTTACGATTTGAAGGTGATAAAGAACGATAAAATTTTCTCCCCTGTTTACCAGCATTCCAAATTGTAAAATTTATCCATTTTGACAAAACTTGATTTTCTAAATGCTCTAATCTTATTTTCCATATTGTTTCCCTAGAGCAAATAACACTTTTTTTTTAATATTATCTTAATAAAAAGATATTGATTTAAGTACATTTGGTAACAACCACACAAGGTACATTAGTTAAAATAAATATACTGCATAATGCACTGAGCATGTAAAAAATGGATGGAAAAATGTCTTTAAACCTATTTTTTTTTAACTCAGGATGAAAATTAAAGAAGAGATTTAAAAACTTACTCTGAAACAGAAAAAGTGGTGCAGTTTGAATGATATCTATAATACAGTAATACTTTATCAACTCTTCGAACAGTTCCACCTAAATCTAAATGAGCATAAAAAAACAACAAATCTTCAGGTGTTCCTTTTCCTTTTTCAGAAAATAAACCTACCCTAAAAATGAAATTAAACTGATGTAGTGTAACTTTAACTAAAGCTACAAAATTTACTCTTACTTTTTAAACAAATTTTTGCTAAAAAACCAAGTGGGCATTAATACTGTTGGACCATGTGATGTGTATATTTGAGTCGACAATAAATTTTGAGGAAGATGATTAACCCATGTTGAAAAACGAGGAGTTGAATTTTCGGGAATTCTTTTAATTTGACATCCCACAATCTAAGAAAATAAAATTTACTTACTTTAATTTACTTAAAAGAGTAATTATCACTATGAAAATATCAGTTAATTACAGCATTTGAATATTTTTTGGCTTCTAAAAGTTGCAGTGAAATTCTTTGAGGGTGCATTACATCATCAATATCTTGAAAACATAAATATTTTCCATTACACTGCGCTATTGCTTGATTTTTGGCAAAACCCACTACAATGAAAAAAATAAATTTATTAATAATAAATTCATAAAAACATTTAATAATAACTGACTTACCTCCTTTGGGGTAATCATAATTTCCATGCTGAACTAAAAGACTTAAATTATTAATATTGGAAATTTTTTTTTCCCAATAGAGAAGCAATTCAGAAGTTCTGTCCGTGCTAGCATCGTTAAATACTGATATTTCAATACCATTTGTTTTTAAAATATCTTGTGTGAGTATGGATTCAAAACACTCATTTATCCACTGTTCCCCATTGTGAATGGGAATTATTATTGACTGTAATTACGAATCACAGTATTTATGACAAGACTGAAAAAAAGTGTCAGTAATTGTTTTTATATTGTCGAATACATATGTTAATCAACTTACAACTTCAGGTACGTTTGTCATTATTATTAGACATAACGGTTAAAATGTAAACAAGCATTTTAATTAAATAAATATTCTTTTTTTAGTTTAAAACATTGTTATTTAAAACAATTATAAAAAAAAAATAAAAATA